AAACAAGGGAAATTTATTTAGTGTCACCTGCAAAATGGATGCTGGCATAAAGTGAAACTGTGATCTCTGATTAACAAAATATTTACACTAGAAATGATAGAAATTCCCCCAAAACCTGGTTATGGGTTCCAGGATGTGAAGTGCAGTGGTAACTGGATGTGGGCTGCCAAGCTGCCTGGTGAGGGAGCATGTCTGTGGGAGGCCTGCAGTGCCATGTGTGAGGTCATGGGTCAGCTGGGAGTGGCCATTGACGGGGGCAAGGACTCTCTGAGTATGGCCGCTAGAGTGGGGAAGGAGACGGTCAAGGCTCCAGGTACTCTCGCTTGATGTGTGTATATGTATCCCTTATGAGTAAGTTAGAGGGTATGTTTAAGTAAAACTTGGTTTTAGCTCCACTTCTGTTTCAGGTACTCTGGTTATCTCAGCATATGCTGTGTGTCCTGACATCACGGCCACTGTGACACCTGATCTCGAGGATCCGGATGCCGAAGGTATGCCACACATAGACAGATGTGATCACTGATAACCTATTGTAAAGCATATGTCATATTGTTATAGTTTGAGTTTGTAGTGGCAGAAATACGTTTTAAGAAATTTGAAATATCCTCCACATCTGGTACTTCAAAAAAAAAAAACAGCTCTAAATCAAGACTACACACATCTTTCTTTGACGCACACGGCAGAGTCCTGCATGGGTCCAGTTATGAAAACCCGTGCCCACAAAGCTCCACATCGGACCCGGCCCGTTACCCAGAATTATTTTTAAATGAAACCCGCAACCTGACCCAAACCTCAATTAAAACAGACTTTAAACTACACAGTCACTCACTTTAAAGTGCTTGCGATTTGTGGCCCTGGAAAAGTACCTTTTGATGGACACAGCACCTGGGCTCTACAGCTGTTCCCTTAGTGAAGGCATGCCTAGTCTATGGCTATCAAACACTAACACTTTTTGGCATTATTTACAAGCAGCCAAGCAGCTTATATCATTGTTCTCATTATCTGTAACCACACTGAATTCTCCCCCCATATGCCTGACTTGGCCTTCAGTGATGTAGGGTATTGGCCACAATATTGTATTCACCACTAGCCATTTTTGCTTTTAGGTTATCCAGTTTGATTCACTGATGCCTAGTCTATGTTGATGTCTTAGTGACATCCTTTTAGCTGGATGTGAGTTGAGGGGTCAAAGGCTATGCCATAGGCCTTCACTATAAATGTATTGGTTATGTAGCCTTGATAAAATTATGCTGGATTAGATGTTTAAATGAAACAATACATTTATATATTTATTTTTAATTTAAATTGTTTATTTTACTTACTACCCACCTGCATTTAGTTTATTTTTTGGCTGTACCAGTGAATTAATATGAACATGTTTTTTTACCCATTACACACCATTTTTCACAGATGCCTGTCAGATCCTCGACCCGGTGCAGGGCTCTGGCCACAGCACATACTCAGTAACTGCCTCTGATGCTTTTTTTCTCTGTCCGTAGGCATATTATTGTGGGTTCCTCTCAGCCCAGGCCGTCATCGTCTGGGAGGCTCTGCCCTGGCTCAGTGCTACAGCCAGCTGGGAAACTGCTCTCCTGACCTGGACCAGCCAGAACTATTGACCACCTGCTTCAACACCACACAGACACTCATACAGGGTCAGATTGCACTCGCAGGCAAAGTACTACCTGCCACAGAGGGGGAAAACTATCCTTGTTTACTGTGAATCAATTTGTGAACAGGGTTTTCTTTAGCTTGAGTTCTGTCCTCTGTCGTTTTGGAGCAGCCTTTGCTCTGCACTGTGATACAGAGCCACCTGGTGGTTTTATTGTGTGTTGCATTTTGCAATGAATAGTGAAAGCTATGAAATATGAAAGAAGAAAGTGGCATTAGGAGTTTTTATGTTCTATCAGATCGTCTGCTGAGCGCAGGACATGACATCAGTGATGGAGGCCTCATTTCCTGTTTGCTGGAGATGGCATTTGCAGGAAACCGTGGGATTGATGTCGAGTTGTCATCACAAGGAACTGCAGGTTAGTGTAATTCACACTTAAAAACCCACAAACTTTTAAATGTAAACTGACATGGTGTCTTTGCTGCTACCATGCTGTCTGCGTCAGTCATGGAGCTGTTGTTCAGCGAGGAGCTCGGGTTGGTTCTAGAGACTTCACAGTCTCATGTAGAAACAGTGTGTCGGCGATACAGCGATGTCGGTGTACAGTGTCATCGCATTGGCAGAACCTGCGGCTTCGGACCAGAAGCTATGGTGAGATACTGAGCTCAAGACTTACATCTGCTGTCTCATATTATCTGTGATGATGTCTTCTGTGTCCCACACTTGCCTTCCAGGTCACTGTCTTCGTGGATGGACAGCAAGTACTGAGAGAGCCACTGCCTGACCTCAGAGCATTATGGGAGGACACCAGTTTCCAGCTGGAGCGACTCCAGGCCAATGAGGTCTGTGTTAAACAGGAACAGGAGGGGCTAGCCAAGAGGACACAGCCCTACTTCAGACTTACCTTTGACCTGTCTGTGACACACAGCATCAGTCAGCTCAGTAAGACTAAATAGGATTCCTGTCGTTTACAGTAATTTAGTGTTTTCAGAAGCTTTAACTAATGGTTAGTTTCATTTTCAGTTACTTTTTGATTACTACATTGATCATTTAGTCTATAAAATGTTTGAAATAATGACAAAAGCCCTTTACAGTTTGCCACAATAAGTACCAGTTAAAATCAGTTTAACGTTTGTAGTCTGACCAAAGAATAATATTAATATGAAAATTGTCATTGATTCATTTTGTCACTTGCTAATCTCTCTGATGTCTTTTGTCTTCAGCTGCAGGGAGACCTCGTGTGGCTGTGGTCAGAGAAGAAGGCAGTAATGGAGACCGGGAGATGTCCGTCTCTCTCTATATGGCAGACTTTGAGGTAGATAACCAGAACCTTATCAGCTGAATATATGTGCTAATCTAAGATATGTTGCTTATATTCATTATGTGACCGTGTAATTGTCTGTGTAGGTATGGGATGTCACTATGCAAGACCTGTGCTCTGGCTCCATAACCCTTGAGCGTTTCAAGGCAGTTGTATTTGTTGGTGGATTCAGCTATGCAGATGTCCTGGGATCAGCTAAAGGCAAGTAAACACACAAACTCGCAGACCACAGTGAGATGCACATAGTCTTTGTTTAACACCACTCTCCTTTCATGAAAGGCTGGGCTGCTACTGTTGTGTATAACCCGAAGGCCAAGGCTGAGTTTGATCGCTTTTGGCAGCGAAGCGACACACTGAGTCTGGGTGTGTGTAATGGCTGTCAGCTGCTTGCCCTGCTGGGCTGGGTGGGGGAGAGTGAGGATGGAGCAGGTAAGAAGGCCGAGAAAGCCATGGAAATGATGCTTATACTGTAACACTGCAACAGGAAAAATGATGCTGTAGTTGAGAATCAAGACAATAATGTAAGGAGACCTTTTCCAGCAGTAAAATGCCTTTTAATTGTTTTACAATTTTCCTGCAGAGTCTGAAGTGGTGTTGACCCATAATAAGTCTGGCAGGTTTGAGTCTCGATTCGTCAGTGTTGGGATCCAGGAGTCCCCATCCATCTGGCTCAAAGGGATGAAAGGCTCAGCTCTAGGAGTCTGGGTTGCACATGGAGAAGGTACACATGGGAAATAGTCAAATACAGTGGGTACGGAAAGTATTCAGACCCCCTTAAATTTTTCACTCTGTTATATTGCAGCCATATGCTAAAATCATTTAAGTTCATTTTTTTCCTCATTAATGTACACACAGCACCCCATATTGACAGAAAAACACAGAATGTTGACATTTTTGCAGATTTATTAAAAAAGAAAAACTGAAATATCACATGGTCATAAGTATTCAGACCCTTTGCT